AAACAAAATAGAATGGACAAACTTTTCACTTTGTAATATTGAAACACTCATTGGGATCGGCGATAAAAGAAAACCGATTCACTTTTATTGAAAAACTAGATTTCTTTCGATCCCTCGTAATAAAAGTATTAAGAGGCAAATGTTGAAAGTGTTGTACTTATGTTGTTTGTTACAACTTCACTTTTAGCTTAAGATGTAGTTACTCTTAACTTGGTATACAATATAATAGAGTTTATTTATGTGTTTTTTATGAGATAGGAGGACAAGGGGGTCACTTGATGGAAGGTGAAATACTGCAGCCAAATAATATCTATACAATATGAACTGTAAACCTATTTTCTCTTTAGATATTACGAAATCCACAGACTGAAGTAAAAACGCAATTAAATTTCACGGACTTTTCATTTCTAGTTTCCTGACCGGGATAGAATTTCGATATTCTTACCACCTGTTTAATATCCAGGTTCCCAGACGAAGTCCAAAATGTTTCACAAAAATTATAAATTTAAATAAAACACTTTAAAGGTTTAAAACGCGATATATGAGTTAAACTGATTTTAAAATGATTATTTAACCACGATTTGTGACCACGGCTGCTGCAAAGCATCCGAAACGTCGGGCCGAAGTTAAAAATCATTTTCAAATCAGTTTAACTAATATATCGCGTTTTAAACCGTTAAAGTGTTTTATTTAAATGTGTACTACTCGCGTAAACTATAGACTGTATTTTATTTGTGCGTTTGTTAATTTATCGATAAGGCTTTTATATAAAATATAGTGTTGTGTTGGTTAGAGCATTTATCGAGAAAGGCTTTTGTAAGATCACGTTAGTAGCAGACTAATTGGAGCGACGAAATAGTGGGAAATGTGGAACAAACAGGGAAAATGTATGACACTTTAAATTTACCGTTGCGCGCGTTGCAAATGGTCAGAGATACCTATGCGAAATGTGTGAATCTAAAAAGAATGACCGCTATAGTATAAATCCACCTTTTAAGAACTTACAGGAATCGTTGTTATGTTGATCTAATATTAATCGAAAAACTTCATATGGTAAAATGAGGTTTGTCAGGTCAACTAGTTTGATAATAATTTGAAATTGAAGAAGCGACGACCTTCGTGATATCCTATTTTAGAGTTTTATTAGAACGGATCAGCTATACTCGGCTTTTAGCTGAGAATGATAGCGGTCATCAACAGAAATAAGTTTTCAATGAGAATGGAATTTCGGGCAATATTGTTCTGTGCGATTGTTGAAATTTTGAAGATGTTATGTGCCATGCCTGATTATTTTTAAATATTATTTGTAGTTCACACGTACACATTTAAGTAAGACACTTTCAACGGTTCTAATAGCGAAATATATTAACTTATTTGCAATTTTTATAACTACTGCCCGACGTCCGGTTCGGTGTCACAAACGTCGGGCCATAGTTATAAGATAAATGATCATTACGTATCTATCGGTCCTAAAGGTATTTAGAATTGACCAAAAAGTTGTTTATACTATAAAAAGAAAAAATATATGTTTGTAATTTAATTATTTTTTAAGTTTACCTAAATATTAACAATAAAATTAATATTAACACCGTTAAGTGCATTCCCGCGAACTGATTGTTTCATCGAATGTAAAGAATGGAAAGAAAATGAATCTTCCTCTTTCGATATAAATATTATATAAGTAAGCTCGCATGGGCATTAAATATAAAGATTAGAAATGGGAAAATGTAAAGATTTATTCGTGTTACTTTTTATCCAGTTACGTAGCTTAGTATTGTATAAAGGAATACTGTCTGTAGTTTACGCGAGTGGGACACATTTAAATAAAACACATTAACGGTTTAAACGCGAGGTACATTAGTTAAACTTATTTGAAAATTATTTAAACTACGGCCCGACTTTTAGGATACATCTTATCTCCGTAAGCACGGCTGCTGCAATATACATATATATCGTGTTAAAACCATTTTGGTGTTTTTTTTATCGTATAAATGGCTATAATACCAAGATTGGTAGGTACGTAGTCTAATTCGTCTGTGTATTGACATTCAATTTATCAGTTATTAGAAAAACTACCTAAAGGGATTAGCAATGAGTGTGCATTTTCTAAATAAATAATTATTATAAATATGCAAATATAACAGACAGTAATTCAAAAGTTATTGCGTTGTATAATAATATGAATTCGACCTAGTTCCAAAATAAGCGGTCTAATTTATTTCGATTCATCTAAAATTTGTATCATATAATTTGGAACAAAAGTTTTATTCTCGGAGGGACGTGGAGTGTATAATTGGTAATTACTAATTTGTTTACGCGAATAGTACACAATATTTCAATATAACGCTTTAAAGGTTTAAAACGCGTTATATATTAGTTAAACTTGTTTGAAAATTATTTTAACTACGGCCCGACGTTTCGGGTGCTATGCAGTAGCCGTGGTGGGCTATCCTAAGCTAACGGCGACCAACAAGTTTAACTAATATATATCGCGTATTATACCGTTAAAGTGTTTTATTTAAATTACTGATTTTACATGTTTTGAATCACCTGATGAATTATATACGAGATGATGGTCTGAATGACATTTTATGATGTATCGGTCATTTTCAAGTTTTAGTACTAGGTAGATATGAGATATGAGGCTGCTAGAGCCAGAGTGGCCCAATAACAAAAGAAAATTACATGCGCAATTAACTTAGGCGAAAATGAATTTGTACTACCATTTGTGCAAGAATTATGTTAACAATTTTCAGTCACGGAGTTCTTGTAGATTAACATTTTTAGACTATAAAAATATAAATAAGTCAAGTCATAATTGCAGTTAGGCTACACTGTCCCTAGCGGCCTCATATTATGTATTGTCTTTGGTTTACGCGAGTATCACACATTTAAATAAAAAAAACTTTTAACGAATTGAAACGTGAAATATATTAGTTAACTTATTTCTTCAGCAGCGGGTCAGGCGCTTGTTGCAAAGCGTCCTTAAACGTCGGGCCGTAGTTAAATTAAAAATAAGTTAAAAAGTTTATAAAGTACTGTCTGTAGTTTACGCGATTTGAATTGAAATAAAACACTTAAACGGTTTAAAACGCGAGATAGATTCGTTAAAATTTATTAATTTTGTCATCCCGTGACCACACCTACTGCAAAGTAACTGTAACGTCGAGTCGTAGTTAAAGTATTAAATCATTACAGAATGTTATTTAAAAGAAAAAAGGATATATAAGTAACTGAAGATAATTTACTGTGCCTTGAAAGTTTTCTTAGTTTAAACACTCCTGAATTATTAACACGTCCCGCCTAGACACCAACATAATCGAATCTAAACACGCTTCATATTGAGTTTACACTTGCACCCGCAAACTGAAAGCAACTTCATGAAATTGGTAACACTATACCTTAATGGTATACGCCTCTGGTGTTGCCAGTATTAGTTCGTTGGGTTCCGTAACCGTGGACTCAAATTGTTTCTTTTCTAACGTATAATACAACTAATTAGCTGTTCCGACAAACTTGAAAAATAATATAATTAGTTGTAATGTAGTTGCACGGACGGACATGGACGTTGGTTCCTAATCTGGACGGAATTTTTATATTTGTAACAACCATCTAAAACAAGTTCGTACGTACTTGGACTGGGAGTTACAAAAAATCTTTCGTATATTTACTACTATTTCTACTGGACTACTACTTGCGACTAATTATTAATTCTAAGCTTCTAAAAATCGACAGATTGATTTCGTCTCATGACCTGACCTACAGCAAGAAAAAGTGCGATTAAGAGGAACATAATAAGTACTGATACAATATAATATGAAGCCGCTAGAGGCAGAGCCTAACTGCAATTTTATGACTTGAGTTATTTTGATGTTATTTTCAGATTGTAAAAATACAAAACAGACTACTAAAACTACAAAAGCACAGTGACCGAAGTTAATTGCGCATTTATTTTCCTCCTTATTGAAAATCATGTTTTTTGTTATTAGGCCACTCTGCCTCTAGCAGCTTGATATCACCTATCAATATATCTATACAGCGATTACCTAAAATAAATACCGAAAACTTTATTATTTTTCACATGTACATGATCGTATTATATAAATTAAGAAACAGCAAGAAACACTGGAGATGCCGGTTCGAGTCGTAGCCGGATCGTTTTTTTTTGCAATTTTATATCGATTGTCGATGTAGGTAATAACCTAAATTTAATTTCAATACAACCAAAATAGCGGCCACTATACTAAAATGTAGATGGCCCGATTACTACAGTTAAATTCGACGTTTCCTGTTTACGCGGGAAAAGCGAAAAATTTCCTTCCTTATAGAAAAACTCTGAAATTAATATGAAGCGTGCTCCTGACATCTTACCCGTGCCCCACCATGGCTATAATATTTCTGCCAGTGACAAAGCTGACGGGGCAAGATTTAACTATAGGACACGCTTTGAATATTAAAGTAGAAAATATTATTCTCGCTTTTGCGTTTAACTTTGCATGTATAAGGGTTTAATCTTATTTAGTTTTATTTTCTAATAGTTAGGGTAAAATCACTTGTTGACACAGCATCACTTGTTATTAGTTTATATATTTTATAATAACTAATCAATGTGTTTAGAAATAAGTATGTTAAGTGGATAATATAATCTATGTACGTCTTAGTATAGACTGAGTATTAGTTATATCACAGATCCACGTTCTGTCTCATCCAAAATATGAACCAATCTCACTATTGCCAAAATAACTTTAGCGTACGTATAATGATAAAATATCTTTGAAAAGATTTAAAATTACCAATTTATTCTTATCGCGATCACCATTTTGGAAACGATATAAATTCTCACTCAAAGTCGTTCGTCTCGTAAATTAAGTGATATTTAATTGGGATGAAATCTTTGAGAACTGTTTACGAAGCGTGAATGGATTTACAAATAAACATTATAGGGGACGTCACAAAAATGTCCTATAAACTCCAAAAATATAATAATTACGATATCTCGTATGTTAGGGTTCCTCGACGCATTTAAAGTACGTCCGGCGCGGGCGCTGGTCGCTTTTGCTGGATTTTCAAACAATAAAATTATAAGCGATTCGGTTAAAAATAACTCGGCGGCTACTGTTGGCGTATTCCTGAAGTTCGATCAGTCCGGCCTGGAAGCGTGCGGTGCGCCCGCGCAACCATCCACAACTGCCAGGTTTGTAGCCCACCTGTTTGCCTTCTTACCTCAATGTCATTATCACTATTATTATAATAACAAAGCTTCAGTCAACGGGCGCACATACGCGTCAAGAGAATTCGCGAAATAACGAAACCGACGCGCAAAATACGCAATCATTCAAAATAGCGTTTAGGATCGCTGTGTTTGTTTTAATTTAATTAATTAATCAAAGAATATACGCTTCTTGTAAGTGCGATAATAACTTGAAGTTAATAGTTCGTAAAGTTCATTTCTCGCCAAGTTTCAAATAAGTTAGAGCGCGGCGTCTGGACAGCTTTTAAGTGCTGCAACTTGACTTAACGCCCTGAGTGCAAAGGGAGTCCTCATCGGGCGGAAGAGCTGGGACTTACCTGTTCCTATATAGCGGAGGTTTAATTATTACTATCTATTTTTACATATAGAGCTCGCGTAATCAAACATCAAGTGTCATCAAGGCATTTTCAAACAGACTAAAAATTTCGCAGTTTATCCAAAGTTTCACATACTCTTTCATCATTTATCATCGTCATTACGTTTTGTTACAAGAAATAGTGCATATCTCAAATACTGTGAATCATTTATCGAGAATAATAAACAATTAGATAGATAAACACTAAAATAAATGTAAAAAGCCCAATTTCATTATCGTTGACGTCAGTAAACGTTCAGTCGTAAATATATAAGCGTTAACTATCGTGCGGGATATATTTTTATAACGGCGTGGGCGCGAATATGTTTTGCAATTTCTTCGTCTTGTCGCAACATGGATGCAGCTAGATTTTAATTTGTAATTTATTTTGAGTAACGGCCTCGCGCGATATCCGAGTTTCCAGAGCAAAGACGGAACGTGTAAACGATAATTCTACAAAAATAGTTTCTGGATTTGTTTGAAAGACTTATTAATACGCGGGCCTGGAAGAACGTCACGCGCTATAAAAGTCTTTCGAGTTATACAACTCGCATCTTTCAAAATATATTATCCGTTAAGTGTGTTCAAAATCTCATTTCACCTATATGGGGTTTGGGGCAGACGTGTTCCTCTGCTTGTTTCAGTAATAAAATTTAATTCTTCTGTTCTCAACTTAGTTTAGGATTTATTTATTATATTCTATTCGTTCAATTCCATAAAATTATCTTAAAGGTTCTGATAATGTAAAAACTTTGACACCAATCTCACACGTAGGAGACGCAACCAAATAAATACAGTTTAATAAAGATGCTTCGAGAAGAACGCAAATGTCCTCCGAAAGTTGACGTGAACGCAACGAAGCTCCAACACGAGCTTAGAAAAATTTAAGGGCACATTGAAAAATATATTTATTTATATTTGCCACTTTTTCACTGATTCCGCCGTCAAATTAAATATTAACAGAAACACAAAATACCACGATAATTATGTCAACCGAATACTGTGAAAACAACCAAATTGGCTACTTTCCGCAAAGTGGTTGCCAAAAAAGAAAGAACACCCCCAAATTGGTCCTGCCTGGAGTGTAAGGGCAATAAGACCAGGGACTCTCCGTTATCCGATACTATAATTTCTGAATTGCAATTGTTACGTACAGAACTGGCAAATCAAATGGGTGCTATCAGGGAGGATATGGCGTGCTTCTCCACTCGAATAGATAAACTATTTGAGTCAGTGCACAATTTGGGAGATAGACTCGATAATGTCGAAAGCAGGATTTCTGTTTTAGAAAATAAATCAGAACTTTCACCTAGCCAAGACTGTAACTCGAACCAGGATTTATTATCATCTATATCGCAGTTAAAAACGGAATTAAACGATCGAGATCAGGAATTGTTACTGACGGACATTGAAATCTCTGGAATTCCAGACAACGAAGGTGAAAATTTGTCGCATTTGGTCACTCTGATTGCGTCAAAGCTCAGCGTTGTGGTTCATGAAGACGACATCGTGAGTGTTCAGAGGGCAAAGGCCTATAGTCGTAATCGCAGTAATGGAAGTGGGCCGAAACCAAGTAGCCGATCGATATACGTACGATTCACAAGACGTTCAATACGAGACAACTTATTAAAAAGTGCACGTGTACGCCGAGATGCCGACACGTCAGGATTAAATCTACCGGGCGATCCGCGCCGATTCTATCTGAATGAACGTCTTACGCGCCACAACAAGCACCTCTTCTATAAGGCTCGCGAGGAAAAGAAACGACTAAGCTGGCAATACCTATGGACCAAAGATGGGAATATATTTGCTCGTCAGAAATCGGACACAAAAGTTAAACGAATTCGTACTGAAGCAGACTTGGCCGTGGTTTTTGGTGGTCCCGAAAATTAGTCCCCCATCTTGTTTACATTGCTATTCTCGTTAGTTTCATTCGATGTTTGTCTATAACCCTAGAGAAAAGTTGTCTATGTCCTAAGACTATTCTGCTTTTATCTTATATTTTATTTTTAATAGACTACTGTTGTAATAATAATAATTTGTCTAATAAGTTTGCGAAGGGTCACAGTCATGTTGTGATTAGCCAGATTATGTTATATACTGTAAAGTTATTATATGTGTCTATAGAATCATATCAACATAGCGTATCTGTATTTAGTATTGATGCTGTAATATGTGGGTTAAGTTGTTTAAAACTACACTATTATACCTTTAAGACTACCAACCATTTTGTTAATTTAAATTTAATTCTAGTCACAACTAAGTATGATTGTATACATAGTAAACAATTAGTACTATTTCACACTACAATAGTCATTATCTTTAGTGGGCTAGAAAAAGTGATGCCAAATAATAACCTCCCTGTTAGTATTGTTATCTTTCTGGTTGCTTTTATTTGTCTTTTTGATCAAATAGCAGTTAAGAATAACGATGGTATTCTTATTTTTACCCATTTTCAACATATAAAACGTTTAATAATACAACTTAACATATTACTTAATAATTATTTCACTGTTCGACGTATACATATAACCATTCTTATAAGAATCTTTGCAAGTGACTTTATAATACTTTATATTATAAAACCTATTGGTCGTAGGGGCGTTTTCAAACATCATTTATTTTCTACTTATTTTTCGCCTATAAAATATAACTTGTCATATAAGTTTTCACTAAGTTATCTCTGTTTCAAAACAACTTAAAATTGGTTTACTAAATCCCTGTTCACTTGCAAATAAACATGAGGAATTTGTTTCCGCTGTGGAGGGGCTTCGTTTTGACTTGTTAGCCATTAACGAAACATGGCTCCGCGGGAACGACGACGCTCTTGTGCCACAATTAGCTGGCTATAAATTTTTGCATGTTCCTCGCTCGCCTACGGTCAGATCTCGCGGTGGTGGAGTGGGATTCTTTATCCGGCAAGAAATCGTTGCGCGTAGAGTCTCATTCCCGGCCCACCCCACGGTCGAGCAATTTTGGTTGTCCTTAAAGTGTTGTAGTTGTAACGTTATAGTTGGTACGGCGTACAGACCGCCGTGGCACGATATAGATACGTTTTTTGACGCATTAACCGATACACTCAGTTCCTTCGCAAATTATGATTATACCATCTTATTGGGCGATTTTAACATTAATTTACTGCAGTCGAATAGTAACACTTCTAAATTTCACAATTTCGTACAGTATATGAATTTCACGCAATGGATTACAGAGCCTACTCATTTCAGCAATACTTCAGCAACTTTAATAGATGTCGTGTGTAGTGATCTTAGTGTGAGCAGAGTACACGTTAATTTTATACCGGACTTAAGCAACCACGCGCTTATTGAGTGTGATTTTAAATTAAAAAAACAAACTTTAAATAAACCGTGTTGGAGAATTTTTAGACCGCTTAATACCATAAATTTGCAAACATTTACTGAATGTCTCCAGGCAATAGATTGGAAGCTACTATGTTCCAAAGATAATGTCGACGATCTGGTTATTACTTTTTGCGATATCCTGACAATGATCTTTGACATCTATGCACCGGTAAAAAAAGTATTTTACAAGTCTTCTCCTTCACTACCGTGGATTACTTTTCCAATTAAAAAAATGATTAAACATCGTAATGAAGCGCATAATTTGTATAGAACGACTGGTTTAGATGCACATAAAGCAAATTACAAGGAACTAAAAAAATTTACAAACATTTCAATTTACAATGAGAAAAACGCCTATTTTAACACAAAATTAAATCTTCAAATCAATAATCCTAAACAACTTTGGAAAAACCTTAAGCAAAATTTAAACATTAATTTCAAAAGACCGAATGAGTTACCTTCTCAGTTTAATGATCCAGATCTAATTAACGCTCATTTCACAGATATTCCTGGTGACAATGCAGTAAATGACTTTACCTTAAATTATTTCAAGTCAAATAGAGCATGCAGTACTTCCTTTAAACTTTCTCCTGTTTCATCATCGACAATTGCGAAAATAATCAAGTCCCTTCACTCTAAAGCTTTAGGGTATGATGGCGTTTCCCTGGATATGCTCTTGTTAACTCTACCTTACACTCTGGACGTCCTTACGGCTATAGTTAATAGATCAATTGAAGCGCATACGTACCCTATAACGTGGAAAACCGCTATAGTGAAGCCATTAGCAAAACATGGTAATCCTGAGGCGATAAGCGATCTTCGTCCCATTAGCATTTTGCCATGTATGTCAAAGATTATTGAGAAAGTAATTGCTGCACAACTTAATGAATATTTAGAAAAAAATCACATCCTTCCCGGTAATCAATCTGGTTTTCGCAAGTCTCATAGTACGTCGACATTGCTCATTGATGTAGTTGATGATGCATTACAGGCTCAAGATAGAGGTGAAGCTACGCTTTTGGTGTTACTTGACTTTTCGAGGGCTTTTGAAACAATTAATCTTGACCTTATGCTTGCTAAAATGGCTTTCTACGGCTTTGAAGCTGAAACGGTCGCATGGTTTGAAAGCTACCTAAGGGGACGAACACAAATCGTGGAACTAACGAATACAGTAAATGGTGAGGCTATTCGGTCTCGACCGACGACGCTATTAAGTGGAGTTCCACAAGGATCAGTTTTAGGACCAATTTTGTTTAATTTGTATAGCGCAGACGTTGTCAATTCCATTAAATTTGCCAAATATCATATATATGCCGATGATATCCAATTATATTTACCTTTTGATCCTTTGAACACTCAAATAGCGGTTGGCAAACTAAATTTAGATTTACAAAATATAGCTCAATGGGCTTCTTGCAACTCCCTCAATTTGAATCCGGCTAAAACCAAATTTATGATTCTTGGTACTGACAAACAAGTAGCTGATGTTAAAACACGTGCACCTAAAGTAAGCGTCCTTGGAGAGGATATTGAATGTGTTTCCCAATCACGGAATTTGGGTATAGTGTTTGACTCAGGACTTCGCTTCGAAGCACATATTGAAAATGTGGTAAGGAACTGTCTGTATCGGCTAAAAGTACTTTACCGGATACGCCGCTATGTAAACGAGGAGCTTCGCACAAAGCTGTGCGAAGCACTTATTCTTTCGAAACTAAATTATGGCGACGTAGTTTTCGGGCCGCGTCTTTTAGCACGGACTGAACGAGTTGTGCAGAGGGTACAGAACGCGTGTGCTCGATATTGTTTTAATATAGCCCCTCGCACTCATGTTACACCCTATATTTACAAAAACAGGATCCTCAAAATGACGTTGCGAAGAGAATTGCACTTAGCTACTTTACTATTTGGAGTGATAAAAAATGCTAAACCTAATTATCTTTTTAAAAAATTAGAGTGGTGTCGTGGTGTCTTCCAAACAAGGCTCCTCAATTCAGGAGGGTTGAGAATTCCTAAATATAATTCGGCCGCCTTTAGAGGGTCGTTCAGTTACTCAGCGACAAAATGCTGGAATAATATTCCACCGCCAGCCCATAATTATAATAGTTTATTTGGCTTCAAAAAATTCTACAAAGCATTTTTATTAAACTATCAGAACACTTTGCCGCTGGGCGCAAGAATTTCTCCCTCCTATTTACGCCAATAATTTCTAATTTCTATTTTTATCATTTATTGCTTCCTAATGTTTACCACTAAAGTCACTGTTATATAGTATCGAATGGTTGTATGTGCGCTGTCTAACAGACAAACGGTAGGGTTTTGCTGAAAATCAGTGTTGTAGCATAATAACCGTGCTACAACTTATGCTGACGTAAGACCCTTTTGGCATCATTTTAAACAAAATTTAATTTAATCTTGTCGTAGTATTATTGTTTTACTTTTATTATTGTTATTCTTTATTGTAATTACATTTATTTTTATTACGTCTAATAATTGTACAAAATGAATGCTAAATAAAGATATTATTATTATTATTATTATTATAAATTAAGGGCATTACAGCAATGATGTTTAACATCACACAAAATATTGAAGCACTTTTCTAATAAGCATTGTATGCTGTCGTTTTGATCCATTATATCAAAACTTTCGAATATTTGTGATAAACGAGAAGCCACCGTTTTGTTTGTTTCCGAACCTATTATTGTTTTTTAAGCAAAAAAAAAGGGTCCCAATTTCAAATCCAATATTTAGCTTTATTTAAAATTGTGAAATAATGTTGCCAGCGGGAAACTTAAAATTAATTAATATGGCAGTAAACTACATCCAAGTATTAAATTACTTAAAAACGCTGTTACTACGAAACGTTGTAAAACTGGATTCGTTCTAGCTGTGTCAACTACGGCCCGACGTTACGGATGCTTTGCAGCAGCCGTGATCACGGGGAGACTAATTTTCAAACAAGTTTAACTAAAATATATCGCGTTTTAAACCGTTAAAATGTTGTATTTAAATGTGTACTACTCGCGTAAACATTCAGACAGTGTCTAAAATACATTTTTATTTATATAGATCGATAGATCTATCGTTTGCAACGCGTGAAATGTAATTTATCAAAGTAACTCTCTATTTAATTGATTTTTGGTATGTTTCAATATTCGTTTTTCTTCTTCTTTTCTTGCACTTCCTTCCGTTAAGATTACTATTTGTCCATACATTGTTAGGTGAGTAGCATTTTGGTGAATTCTTTTAACTAATTAGAAGAGTTAAGCTTTAACTTAGCTATACTTATTGGCCTTTATAAACTTGACTATATCCTACTGTTGTTTAGACCCGTGTTGCGGTTGAAAGTTATTTCATAAGGCTACTATGTAGCAGGTTACTCAAGGTTGAGATTATTTTCGTTTTACGACAATTTACATCTTTAACGGCGATATTAAATGTGATTACTATCCAACAGTGTTACGAGCTTGTCCAAGATTATTAATCTAAACAAACGTTAATATATGCACAATCAATCTATTAAAATACAAT